TGGTTGTGAACTCCTCTCACCTCTCAACACATCTTCTGAATCCTCCCCCGAATTTAAAAATCTCTTTCTTGTTTATCTGAGCCCTGTGCTAATTTCTCTCTCTAACTGTCACCACTTGTATCTTTCAAACTTGTATCAGACTGGTCTGGTTGGCTCTACTTCCTAGGGCCTTGTGTTAAGTTCAATATCCTTTCTCCTTTCGTGCTTGTAGGAAGCTCTCCTCCCATCTCTATTCTCACACCTCTCACAGCACATTCACTTCAGTCTGCGATGCATTTCAAAAGGCCAAGGAAACACAACTCGACACAACATCCCTGAGTGTTGGTTGAACTTGTTTTAATGAATTCAACATGTCTGTAGTATATAGTCAGACTCTGCATTCTGCACAAGATCCACTAGAATTGTCATATGTCTGCACCATTGTGCAACGAAAGTAACATATTTTCGAGGTGTCATGGTTTTATTTCCTGGATATATTTTGCATAACCCAAAGGAACTATGCCAACTGAAACGTGTACAGTATTGAAAGAAGTTTTTGACGTTTTTAGTTTTATTTTTACAATCCCAAAATCCCCAACCCCCAAATGTGCACAGTCCTCCAGCTAAGGTAGTCCTTACCTAGCCTGATTCATCAGTCAGTTTCATTTTGTGGAAACTGTGACCTCACAGCAGTAGAATTTGTTTGCTCGAGGGTATTTTTTTTTATATAACCAAATGCTGCTATATGGTCATGATGTATGTAATGCGCCGCTAATGGGGCTAACCCGTATATTAAGCTTTTCCCAAATCCCATAGGAAGAAGGACAATCCCCTTGATACAATTCACCAAACATTCTCTTTGTTCAGCCTTTAAATCCTCGCTCTCGGGAATCGTTGCCAACACAGAATGACTTCATCTACATCCATCTCGACCACTTTGTTTACTGTTGTGCTGTACCACCAAAAGGGACCCAGTCATGGCTTCACAGCTCTTCGCTGATTGGTCGGTGGGCAGTCTACAGCTTCTAGTGTATTCTGATTCTTGACCTAGTCGCTGGAGAGAAATGAAATTGAGTGGAGGCACTAGGTGTCTCCAACCTGGCTAGTCCTGACCAAGCCTATAGCTCAGTATCAGGAGATGGATCCCCGGGCATCCCTACTGGGATTATAAAGAGTACCTTAACCATAAGTGTCATTTTTTTCAGAGAGTACGCAGACCTATTAAGTCACACCTCTGGACTCAAGTCAATAAATATATCTTTGAGTGAATAACAGTGCAGGGAAACATAGTATATTCAAGTTACTTACCAGTTATCTTAACTAAATTTAAAAGTTTAACATTTATTTATTTATTCATTTATTTTTCAGAGGCATCATCAAAGGATGAGTGTAAATAGTATACAGTACACTGTGCATTTTTAACAGTCTTCTTTCTGGCTGGAACATCAAATCCATCCTTTGTTGTCTTGTGCTGTTTGTGGGTGAACTTTAATATTAGATTTGCTGTTTTGACTGAGTTTTCTTTGTTGCAAACCCCCAAGGTTCACTACCACAGTCAAAACTAAAACATATTTGACTTGCTGTAATCTTGATAAAAACATTCACAACTGACTGCCTGGAACAAGTTGTCTTTGATTGGATTTGTGCTCATGACAAATGGGAAAAAACATGTTACACTGTTTTTATTTTTCCAGTGAAATTAGACTTTGTAAATCGTAACAAATTAAGCCTACAGACCCAGAGGGAAGTTTAAATCTTACACAATAAATCCATGATGAGCCACTATAAAGCCCAGATTAGAGCTGTCTGCGCCCTTGAGGTGACATATTTTATCATTGTGTTACTTTATATGAAATGATATGAAACAGGTGAATGTGTTATGAAAAAATGGACAGGGCTACAACTAAATCTTTATAATTTTTTTCAATATCTAAGACAAGGTATTAACTATGAGACAATGTAACAATGTTCTATTTGTAATACGATGCTACTGAGCAAAAGATGTCTTGCTTACAATATGAAGCTCTTCTGGCACAAAACTCTCCTGAGCCAAGCTAAATCTCTCATAAAAATAAGTGAATCCACTATATAATTTGTTCTTTTAGCAGGCCTAGTCTAAGAGGACCAAGTATTTGAATTTATTTGTTTGGAGGATAAGCCCTTGAGATGTCTCGTCATCTCATTTTCGAGGTTTCTGTGATCAAAATTTCAAAATGATATTGAACTGTTTGGCATTGCTGCTGTATGTTGCTCCCTAACAAAACGTTTATGTTCATAAGGGACAGTTTCAGCTTCCTGTTATTCATGAGTTTTAGAATGATGAAAAATGTAGGATAGTTTCCATAGCAATTAATAAAATTTTATATCTTTTGAATGGGAAATAAGCATCAAAATGTTGCATATAAATAAATCTGAAACCCATGAATAGGCAACATTTTGAGGATTTTTCATCATTCAAAAGATATTTTGATAGATTTAGTTTAGAATTTTTAATTGCTATGGCAACAAGTCCTAATTTTTCACCATTCTGAAATCCATGAATAACAAATGAAACGTAAGGAACCTTAAAAGAAAAAACTCATATAGAATACATTCATTATGAGGACAAAGATGAGATTAGAGCTGTCTGGGCCCTTAAAGGCGACGTGTGCCTGTATTGTTGAAGTCAAATGAAAACAGACGAGACCGCCTACATGGGCCCTCCCCCTGATTAAGAGTACTTTAAATGTGGTGCTTGATCCATAGGCCTTCTCTTCAGACAGACGCGTGTACTTCAACAAGCCTTATAGCGCTAATGATCATGTGTCAGCACACATCACCTCCACACAGAGCACCCACACTGCTCCATACCAATGTGATTATTGCGAACGACGGGCTTCTTACACACTGACCCTTTGAAATTGAAATCAAGACCAACTCTGACAGCAACTATTATGTGAACAGAGAAGAAATATGGACAGATCCTTATCACTTATATTGTGTGGAAACTTGCAATAGCCAAAACATTTTAACAACTGCCAGATATTTTTACTGTGATTGAACAAGAATAATTTGAAGGTTTGATGAGGTTTGTGTCTCATAGTAAATAAAGGCTGTCGACAGCAAATACACCTGCCAAGCGAAGATGTCACAATATCAAATACTATGATTAATGGGCAAAAACAATATACCATAATGACTATTCACAATTTCTGACACTATAACAAAACAGTAAAATCCTTAATGTCCTTAAGTACCATTGTCTAATACATGTGAAGAATCCCACAGTCGTCCAGGTAGAATCCATGGCAAGGAGAAAATTCAGTTTGTCAACTGGACAAAAGTTAGTTTGGTTAAAGACGTTTCGCAGCTCATCCAAACTGCTTCTTCAGTTCTGGTCAGAATGCTGTTGGACACTAACGAATGTTATCCTCACCGTTGTCTAATACATTACTATTCCATTAAATTTTCTGAACGCTTAAGTAATCCAATGATATAAGCATAATAAAAGTACTTCACATTTCAGTTAAACTATCTTGGATTAAAAACATATTTGCTACTTAAATTCTCTTAATTTTTACCTGAATAATCACAATTATTGGACAGAATCATTTTTCTAAACCACTCCTATAACCACCTGCCAAGTAGCCATACTCTGGTCTGTTATAAATAGGCATGCATTATACATTTGAACCAGTTTTACAAAACAATTGCCACAGTCTTTTAGCTTATCCATTAGAGTAACTCGCACAGGTCAGCCTTCACCCCCAATATATCACTAAATACTCAAATGAAATTATACTTGTTTATTAAATCTGCTCTGTACATGCACCCTGGAACAAATTAAACTACAATAGGCCAATTAAATTATCATGTTTGTTTATTTTTAAGCTCTTAAGAACAACTTTTTCCATTGCAACACCATAAACTGCTGTGTAGCAACTTCACAATCAAAACAGTAAAACAACTGCTGTTTATATAAATGTATGAATGTGAAAGTAGAAGATCTTAATTGACCTTTCATGGACTTAAACAACATGTCTTAAATTCAAGATTTTTAATGTGCAAAACATTCAAAATGATCATCCATATTTGAAGTTCTTTACTTCCCCCTCATCATATGCTACACTCTGAAACTTCAGGATTGCAAATTAACATTCAGACATATATAATTTTCTGTATTTCTTGTACTGCAGAGCTGCATACATCTTTTTAAAACAAGGTCACAAGTTAGACATGGTTCAAGTTCTTCTTAAGACTTATTCTGTGCATTGAATGTTGAAAATTTTGAATTGCATATAGCTTTAGATTCTGTGATGACTGCTGACACGTGTTACAAACAGAAGCTAGTTGAATTTCTAATCCAATTATTGCATTGGCAAGGATGGCATTAATGGTGACATGGAAACAGCTGTCAGTTATACAGGCAGACCTTACAACATTTAAATAAGATTAAACTCATGCCTGTCAGAGATGTTCTATACAGTAGGCCTAGACTGCAACAGGATCTACAGTAAGAGATACTTCACTGTTTTACTTTAATGAATTATTAAAGCTCCTTTGCCACTGACTTCTGAAAATGATTTTAAATATTGTTATTGCAAACTAAAACAAATAGATTCCATAACCTCATATCCACAAACTAGTATATGAAACAAATTGTTGCAAAGTAAATCTCACACAGAGTTGTGGAGCAAAACCAGGAGCTAATGTTTTCTTGTTTACTGCTGAAGTTTCTATAAAGTTTTATCGGTCCAACCATAACTATTTCTTTTAGAAGAGTATTGGATGACATGTCCTTACTATATTCTCTCAGGTTCTCTGTCCAAGGACATTCATATTTTAGAACTGTTTAATTTTAATTGCCTCTAGTGAATTAATATGGCAGCCTCTGCGTCAATGTAGTGGCAACAGACATGTTCACAGTGTACCCCACTTGAAAAGAATGTATTGTAGTTTTGCTTGAAATGTAAATATAAAACTTGAACACTGAAATGAAAATAAATAAATAAATAAATAAAAAGATTTGATGTTCCCCTGACCTTATTGAGTGTAATGACAGCCTCCTGGTTGACAGCAGTGATGTTGAAGGTGTCTCCAGACTCTCCATCCAGAATAGTGTAGACCAGGCGCGCGTTCTCCCCCAAGTCTGCGTCTGTAGCTGATATTCGGCCAATCTCTGCCCCCGGGATGGCCAGCTCTGAGACAGAGAAGGACCACGTACCTGTGAATAGAGAGGATGCACAGGTCAATCATCAGCACAGGTCAAAATAAACAAACTACTCGGTACAGGGTTTTTGGCACAGCTGAGACAAAAGCTATCTTGTTATTATTTTATCTCTATCGTTATAATATGCTTGTCATCTTTAAATTACTTTAACTCTCTCCCCCATGAAGACGACATTTGACGACCCTCCCTTGTTTCCTTAATGACGTCTTTTAACACCTCCGCTGTGTCACTAAAGACGTGATTTGACGACCATTACAAATGGATCGGTTTTTCACATGTAAACAGAGGCTGTGATAGGTGGGGGCCACTACAACCCATACATACTAATATATGTATGGGTTGTTCCAAGTAGGCATCCAAGGGAAAAAGAGTTAAGTTACTGATCAACATCAGGACTGAACTGTGACTATTTTGAAACTAACCAGAACAAGACCAGGACTAAATTAAACTAAAGTACAAATTGAATTTACAAAGGGTTAACTCAAGTCAAATATGCCCCTGATAAGCAGGCTGCATTTGTCAGTTAAGCATTTTATTTCCTTGTAATATTTTATAAGGCATGCTCCCAGGTGTGCCTAGTCAATATCTACACATTCAGCTCAGATAAGAGTGTTTCATTTAAGAGAAGATAAAAGATAAAGGCAGATAAAAACTAGGGAAGTGTCGATGGGTTTTACTATAGGATATCTTAAAAACACAGGCATGAAACAATAGCAATCCAAGAATAAGAAAAGATGCTTTGAGCTGTAATACAACGCTCCATAAAGTATTTGAATTTGATGAAGTGTTGTAAACTTTACTTTATATAAGGCTATCAGAAACAGGCTTTCTTATGTGTGCCCAGGCTGGCTGTTTTACATGCAGCTTCTACTTCTACTGTAGAGCATATTAAAATAGCACATTATGAGGCATTTTCTGGGGTTGCTATTTTAATATATACAATATGAACCAGCAGGAAGGATCTTTTTATGATGGAACGACTGGATATGATCAAGACAGCAGTTGGCATATGCAGAAATGATGTGGACTATGCTCAAGATACAATTTCAATCTTACAGAAAGAAATAGCTTTTTGTTTACATGCAAGTACAAAACAACTGACAGAGTAAATTTGCATACAAGTAAACAAAAACAACTTTGAATATGGCATACAACAAAGTGGGAAGCGTAACTGGAGCTCTTAATGGTGCATAAACACATCATAGTTAACAGTACACAAACTGTGTCTTTTATGTATGCAACAACAAAGACCAAAACCACAAAACTACAGCAGTGACTGTGAGAAGTTATTGAATGGGTATACACTGGTTTCATCTGGCTCTATGTGGTCTGTGTTTGTGTTCTTCCTGTTGTAAATGTACTGAGTCATACCTGCAGCAAACGTCTGATAATAAACCACATTTACAATTGTGTCTTAATATTAAAAGTTCTACCATAGACACTTGCAAGAAGTCTGTCTAGATCTTTTGTATTTAATTTCCTCAAAACAAAAAAAACTGTTAAATCAGACCAGACTTTTTTGGGGGCATTACCTTGAATTAAACTAATTGGAGACTGGAGATTGATTTTAAGTGCATTGTGTAACTCGTCTGGTGCCTTTCTCCATGGAGATGTTATTGCTTTGTCTGGAATGTTTCCTTTTCACAGTCAGAATGCCTATTTTTCTAGGCATTTTTGAGCTATAAAACCAGTTGTATTACAATAAATGTATGGTAAATCTGTTTAATGTCTGTGGAACATTCCAGGCAGAACAGTGACATATCCATAGAAACAAGCAGGTGATGGATAGCCAGGCTGGCGCCACCTAGTGCCTTCGCTGAATTTCATTTCTTTCTAGCAACTACGTCAAGAATCAGAATACACTAGACCAATCAGTGAAGAGCCATACATTCTGTGTTGGGAACAATTCCCAAGATCAAGGATTTAAAGGTGGAACAAAGAGAATGTTTGGTGAATATGATCAAGTTGAAAGACGTTATTGCCCTTCTTCCTACGGGATTTGGGAAAAGCTTAATATACTAGTAAGCCACGTTAGCAGTGCATTAAATACATCACGACCAAATAGCAGTGATTGGTTAAATAAAAAAGTACCCATCTACCGTTGAGCAAATGAATCCTAATGCTGCGAAGTCAGACGGTTTCTACGAAGTGAAACCAGCTGATGAATCAGGCTAGATGACAGACCCTCCACAAGAAAAACTGCACAATGCACCTTTACTCATAGTTACTTGCCTAACCTATACCCTACCCTTAATCTAGTTAACCCATATCTGAACTTAATACCATGCTGTTGATCTAATAATAAAAGATTTACATAATGGAACCTGCCTCGAAAATCAGGCCAGCATGACATAATACAGATTTTATTCCCTACAGTGTGATAAATCCATGCCCACACAATGGAATACACAATAAAAGGAGGTATAGAATATCAGTGCTTGGCTAGTGTGCAGGATAGACGAGCTCTGTCATAGTCTTATCTGCATCCACTGAAGGTAAAAGGGAATCAGATAGACCATGCACATGCACAAGGGAACAACGCGCACAAACACATCAGGCCGACATAATCAAAGATGGGTCGCTCTTCAACAAGACGCTATCACAGCCACGACAACACGCAATATCTGACAACATCACACACCAAAAATCGTGAGGTAACTTCAGTTCATACACCAAAGTGACTGCACTGTTTGATACTGGTCCTTTTTATGAACGTATGATGTCCACCTGAGGGATTTCCTGTTAGTAATTACACTGCAATACTACAACAATACAACGGTAGTCTAATCTTGAACAGCAAATTGGTGAATGAAAGGTGAAATAATAGAGTTTAATTTTGTGGTTGTGTCAGTCACTTTTTGCTGAATGTTTTTCCCACTTTCAAACCTATTTATTTGTTAGCAAAATATTTTGTAGATACAGAAAAGATACTTAAAATATCTGAGTTTGTATTACTAGATTCAAAGTATGCAGTGCTACATCTGACCTTGTTTCATATAAAATATATACACATTAGTCCAACTGCATTACATGTCAATATGGTTGACTGGTGCTAAAAAATAACTGGTGTATTCAAATTCTAGATCACCATTTGCAAACCCACAAATGGAGCTCAACGCACAGAAAATAGAGTATTAAAAGCTCATTTTAAAGTCAGGAGCACACTGATCCCATACCCACGGGAGATCATACAAAGGGTAATTATTATACACTTTTAAAAATGAACAAAATGATTTGTTCTACTTTTAGACAGACAAATAGTAGATACGACTGTCTTTGTAAGAGTTCAACGCAAACAGAAAGAGGAAATGGGATATAATCACTAATGAAATGTGTGTTGATCCAGTCACGGTTTGGACTGTGCTGTTTACCTGGCTGTTTTGTGTCATTTGCTGGTTTATTATCTGTGAAAAATTCTCTTTATGGATGCCACACAAATCACATTTATTAGTTGTTTAATAGCTTCCTTCCTCTTTAGAAGATGCCACTGCTACAGAACATGCTGCCTCAATCCTCACAGGAGATTGCATAACAACAACACACTGACATTGAAATTATATTTGTTTTTCATAGTTACACAAATTTGAGAGTCTAGATGCTAGCATTGCAGCCTTATGTCACATTTTAGTCTGGGAGTGTGGCTATTGCTAGGCTGACTGCTGGCCCTGTGGTTGTAAAGGGTCTCTTATTGGTCCCATTACAGTTAGCGGCTCTCCAGGCTGCTCTTTACCAACTCCTATTTTTACTTTGCCACATTTACCTCCTGTCGGCTTCTCCTCTCAAGTGCTTTCAGTGCTATTTACTCCAGGTTTCTCTGTGTGACGCTCTCTGGGAGGGTCCCCTACTGTTCCACACAGCGCTATACAAATGTAATGGTTAGGCTCATTTCAATGCACTGACTGTATAGGCCAACCTTAAAGACTAGCTCAGCTTCATAGGGAAAGATTGTTATTATTTATAGTCACTGAAGCCCTTTGCAACACCATTTATTTGCTTTGTTTATTTGTTTGCTTGTTTTTCTATTTTTACATGGTTGGTTCAGTGTTGCTTATACCTTTTGCAGTTTGGTTTAAGAATGAAAAGAGTGGCTCGTTACTGGTACCATGTCACCCAGGCTGTGTCTGCTGGGACATCGTCCGTTCAGTCATAAGTACTGGACAATGCAGTGTGTAAGATGTTGGAGAATGTAAACATGTTGTATTTGTTTGCATATGTCTGCAATTGTAATACTCCAGATATGTAAGCGTTTTTATGGCAACGCTGTTAAAGTTATGTCTCATTTATTTATTTGTTTGTTTCATTTAATAATAATACAAATATTGGGGTGCCAAACTTGCTGTTGCTCCATGCGCTTTACCCCCTTTACTTGCAAGTCATGACTTGGACTCGAGTCAGACTTGAGTCACTATTTTTAGGACTTGAGACTTCACTTGATAAAATGGGCTAAGACTTGGGATTTGACTTGGGACTTGACACAGACTTGAGCCCTATGATTTGAGAAGACTTTATGCTTCTCCTAAAAAAATATATGTTTTTAGAAAATACTTTTCTCTGTTCAGTTGATAAATGCAGTGCTTAATTTTAAAGGAACAAAGTGGAACATGTCCCTCCCACTTTTCTATTTGTTAATTTGGATGTAACTAAAGTACTGTAAATGTACTACAGGAATATACAGTAAAATACAGTAAAACTGACACACACAACAAAATAACTGTTATTAAGCACTTTTAAATCTTAATTCTTTCTGTTCTGACCATAATGATTCATACTAAGATCTTGTCAATTTAATTCATTTAAAAAGGAAAAAAATGCATTTCTACAACTTTTATATAAATACTAATATAAATATACCATGACTTTTAAGTACAATTTAGTTTAAAATTCATAAAATTGCAAAAATCTAAGATATATTTATTACTTTGGTTTAAAGACTTGAAATGACTTGAAGCTCAATGCAGATGACTTGGACTTCACTTGGAGTTATGTGCCAGTGA